AGGAGTTTCTTCACCTGGGAGGCTGACCTGCCTTGTGTCCTGTCTGTACCTGCTGAGACTCGGGCAGAGCAAGACCCGCCCCCACCCCAGCCCACCTCCCTGCCCCGGCTTCCCCGCCGACCGTCCACCTTCAGGACGATGTCCGAGGCAGCCTCGACTTGCCTTTGAGCTGGGCAAAGGGGCAGGGCCGGGGACATCTCCTCTCTGAAATACCTGGTGGATAATCAGCTAGCCCTCGTGGCGCTCAGGATGGCTGGCGAGCTCGGCCGGAAGGTTTCCCCTGGCTCTGGCTGGAAGCGGCCCTCCCGCCCAGCGGCTCCCCGCTCCCCGCCTCACCCCACAGCGGCTCAGATCTTGGCGTCAATCTTTATTGTTGTTTTGGCTCCGGGACTCCGATCGGTGGGGGAAATTCCTCTCGGAGAACTCCAGGGGAGCCTGGCCCGAGATCTGCCGTGCGAAGGCTGCGGTGGGTTTGGGAGCGACCTCGCCGGGGGCCAGTCGGGAATTTCCACTGAAAGGTTTCTCGGGGCTCCTGCTCGGCCGGTTTCCACCCCACCCAAATATCAGCTCTTCGGTGCGGGAAACCGCCGGGTCAGAGGGAGGCTAAGCGCCCCTGCAGTTTCAAGTGGGACTCGGGAATCTGGCTGTGCCGAGAACTTACCTGGGGACACAGCAAGCGGGTAAAACGCTCTTAAAACGCCGGGCCAGTGCTCGCTTAGGCGGCGCCAATACTGAGACCCGAGCGCTACCGAGGTGAGCACGGCCCCTGCGCAAGGAGAACGTGCAAATTCGGGTTAAAACAAAGACAACCACGGGTCCCGGACATGCGAGCCACAGAGGAGCCATCCCACAGGGCTGGGAGGGGCAGGTCCTTCCCAACCCGCTCCCGCACGCTCCGGGGCCGGGATGACTTCCTGGCAAAGGGTCCGCGACTCCGGCCTTCCTGGCGGCTGCGGGAGACGTGAGCGCACGCACGCGGGACTGGGGGTCCCGGAGAGCCGCACATACCTTCTTCCGCAGCCTCACTTGGCCGGTGATGATGGCCACCACGTACATCTTGATGACCAGCAGCGCGCTGCAGAGCAGAAAGGCGGGGAGCACCTGGCCGTTCATCAGCTCCAGGCCGAAGGGCTGCATCTCGGCGGCGACGGTTAGGGAAGAGACCGCGGGCGGAGAGCTCGGGCGCGTGTGTCTCCGGGAGCAGGGAGGGGCAGGGAGAGCGCAGGGAGGCTTGTCTGTACTCTGCACCCGCCCACTCCCAGCCAAGAGCAGCAACTTCGGCTCTCTCGGGTTTTGGAAGTAGCAGAGTCGCCGTGGGGGGTTTGTGGATGGCCGGGGGGCGGGGTGGTGTCCCTACTGGGCCTCTAGCCCCGCCCCACCCCTCCAGGGCAAATCCTTAAACGCTCTCTAGCCTAGAAATTGGAGGGTTGTATGGCCCTGCCTGCCTGCCAGGGGGTGCAGCAAAGCCAGGAGCCTGCCCGACCTCCACGGGGTGGTAGATTCACTAACCCGGGCCTCCCTGAGGGTCAGGGCAGGGAGTGGGCTTGAGATCCGAACTCTCTGCCCCCACGTTCAGCCTGGACACTTGAACCACCGCCGTAAGGACACTAACGTCACTTTGTTGAATAGTGTGCCCCTCCCCACCTCTCCCCACTCCCAAAGATGTCCAATCTGCATCCTCAGAGCGCGTGTGTATGTTAGGGAACATGGCCAAGGGGCTTTGCAGGGACTAAGTCAAGGTCCTAAAATGGGGAGATTTTCCTGGATTCTCCGTGAATCCAGTTGAATCAGAAGAGTCCTCCTGGCTCAGTGGTAAAGAATCCACCTGCCAATGCAAGAGACACGGATTGGATCCCTCATCCAGGAAGATCCCACATGCTGTGGAGCAACTAAGCCCATGCCCCACAACTACTGAGCCTGTGCTCTAGAGCCTGGGAACCCCAGCAAGAGAAGCCCACACACTGCAACTAGAGAGGAACCCCAGCTCTAGAAAATTCTGCACAACAATGAAGACCCGGCACAGCCAAAAGTCAATAAAAAGAAGTGTCCTCCTAAAAAGAGAGGCCATAGAATTGGGGGAGAAAGCTGTGAAGACAGAAGCAGAGGTCAGAGAGAAGAGAAGATACTACACTGCTAGCCTCAAAGGTGAAAGGAAGATGAACTGGAGAATGCAGCCTCTAGAAGCTGGACAAGACTAGGAGAAGAATTCTCCCCCAGAGCTTCTAGAAGGAACCAGCCTTGTGGGTACCGTAACTGTAGCCTACCGAGATTGATTTTGGGCTTTTGGCCTCCAGAGCTATGAGATAACACATGTGTGTTGTTTTATGCCACTAATTTTGGGCAATTTATTACAGGAACCATAGGAAACTAGCTTACTGTTCTACTGTCTTTTAGTATCACTTTAGTTTTCCAGGAAATTCCCAGGCAAATGGTTTGATTGTTCATTACAGGAACTTCTCAAAAGATCCATCAGCTCTTCGGTGATGATCAACAGTTTGTGAGCCCTTTGAATTTCTTGCTTCAAAATACTCACCCACCTGTGTCTTCCCCTTCCCATAGCCCCTCCCCAGATGTGTGGTGGGACCTCGGCAAAGGCAGTGATCTTGTCGCTTTAGTTTTCCCAAGGTGGCTGGCTTTGCTAGGGGGCTTCTCGATGGCTCAGCATGTGAAGAATCTAATCCCTGGATCAGGAAGATCCCTGGAAGAGGAAATGGCAACACACTCCAGTATCCTTGCCTGAAAAATACCATGGACAGAAGGGGCCGGCAGGCTACATAGTCAGTTGCGTCACAAAGAGTTGGACATGACTAAGCACTTGCATGAGACCCTGGGGAAGTGGGGAAGATGGAAAAATTAGTTTCTGGTGCCCATTCTGACCTTGGACCTGCCCAGAAGGACAGCAGTGTCAGTCTGGTGACCCTAAAACTGGGTTCCCCCTTGGTGGGTGTTGAGTCAAAAGACATACCAAGCCAAAGATCAGGAGAAGGAAGGATTTATTTCTTGCAGCAAGTAAGAAGAACACTGGGTGTCTTTCCGCAATCAGTGTCTCCCCAACAGCATAACTGGGGAAGTTTTTAGCTGAGGGTATATGCGCATTCATAGAGGGGCTTGAGCAGAGGACAATCTATCAGAGAATTATGGCAAAGAGTCCAAGCTCTGAGAGTGAAGCTGAAGTCGCTCAGTTGTCTCCGACTCTTTGCAACCCCTTGGACTGTAGCCTACCAGGCTCCTCTATCCATGGGATTTTCTAGGCAAGAATACTGGAGCGGGTTTTGCCATTTCCTTCTCCAGGAGGTCTTCCCAACCCAGGGTTTGAACCCGGGTCTTGAGCATTGTAAGCAGAAGCTTTACTGAGCTGGGTAAAACACCCTTAAGACACCAGGCCAGGGCTCGCTTCTGTTCAGCTCAGTCCTCAGTCGTGTCTGGCTCTGTGCAACCCCATGAACCACAGCACGCCAGGCCTCCCTGTCCATCACCAACTCCGGGAGTTTACTCAAACTCATGTCCATTGAGTCAGTGATGCCATCCAGCCATCTCATCCTCTGTCGTCCCCTTCTCCTCCTGCCCCCAATCCCTCCCAGCATCAGGGTCTTTTCCAGTGAGTCAACTCTTTGCATGAGGTGGCCAAAGTATTGGAGTTTCAGCTTCAGCATCAGTCCTTCCAATGAACACCCAGGACTGATCTCCTTTAGGATGGACTGATTGGATCTCCTTGAAGTCCAAAGGACTCTCAAGAGTCTTCTCCAACACCACAGTGCAAAAGCATCAACTATTTGGCGCTCAGCTTTCTTCACAGTCCAACTCTCACATCCATACATGACTACTGGAAAAGTCATAGCCTTGACTAGATGGACCTTTGTTGGCAAAGTAACGTCTCTGCTTTTTAATATGCTATCTAGGTTGGTCATACCTTTCCTTTCAAGGAGTAAGCGTCTTTTAATTTCATGGTTGCAATCACCATCTGCAGTGATTCTGGAGCCCCAAAAAATAAAGTCTGACACTGTTTCCCCATCTACTTCCCATGAAGTGATGGGACAAGATGCCATGATCTTAGTTTTCTGAATGTTGAGCTTTAAGCCAACTTTTTCACTCTCCTCTTTCACTTTCATCAAGAGGCTTTTTAGTTCCTCTTCACTTTCTGCCATAAGGGTGGTGTCATCTGCATATCTGAGGTTATTGATATTTCTCCTGGCAATCTTGATTCCAGCTTGTGCTTTTTCCAGCCCAGCGTTTCTCATGATGTACTCTGCATACAAGTTAAATAAGCAGGGTGACAATATACAGCCTTGATGTACTGCTTTTCCTGTTTGGAACCAGTCTGTTGTTCCATGTCCAGTTCTAAGTGTTGCTTCCTGACCTGCATATAGTTTCTCAAGAAGCAGGTCAGGTGGTCTGGTATTCCCATCTCTTTCACAATTTTCCAGTTTATTGTGATCCACACAATCAAAGGCTTTGGCATAGTCAATAAAGCAGAAATAGATGTTTTTCTGGAACTCTCTTGCTTTTTTGATGATCCAGTGGATGTTTGCAATTTGATCTCTGGTTCCTCTGCCTTTTCTAAAACCAGCTTGAACATCTGGAATTTCACGGTTCACGTATTGCTGAAGCCTGGCTTGGAGAATTTTGAGCATTACTTTGCTAGCATGTGAGATGAGTGCAACTGTGCAGTAGTTTGAGCATTCTTTGGGATTGTCTTTCTTTGGGATTGGAATGAAAATTGACCTTTTCCAGTCCTGTGGCCACTGCTGAGTTTTCCAAATTTGCTGGCATATTCAGTGCAGCAATTTCACAGCATCACCTTTCAGGCGGCACCAATACTGAGACGGGAACGCTACTGAGGTGAGCATGGCCCCTGCGCAAGGAGAACGTGCAAATTCAGATTAAAACAAAAACAGTCACGGGACAAGGACGTGCGGGCCACAGAGGAGCCATCCCACAGGGCTGGGGGGGCGGGTGGTCAGGTCATAGCCACCAAGATGCTGCCCTCCTGCCTGAAGCTGATGAACAACCAGGTACTCCTCAACTTCCTGCTCTGCGGCGGGCTGCTGGTCATCAAGATGTACGTGGTGGCCATCATCACCGGCCAAGTGAGGCTGCAGAAGAGGGTACGTGCGGCTCTCGGGGACCCCCAGTCCATCGTGTGTACACTCACGTCTCCGGCCGCCATCGGGAAGGCTGGCTTCGGGGACCAGAAGTCTTCCCGGCCCTGGAGCATGTGGAAGCGGGTTGGGAAGGACTTTCCCCTCCCAGCCCTGTGGGATGGCTCCTCTGTGGCCCGCACGTCCTTGTCCCGTGGTTGTTTTTGTTTTAACCCGAATTTGCATGTTCTCCTTGCGCAGGGGCCCTGCTCTGAGCCACCAGGGAAGTCCAAGCGTTAGTTGATTGAAATTCCAAGGCTCATAAAAAGTTATTAACATTCCCCAGGTTTCGGTTGATCTGGGCACCAAGCATTTAAGGAGGCTTTAAAATCCGAAAAACGCCTAGGAAGGTGTTTCAGGCTAATTTTTATCATGGAAACTTTGCTTGTGAGTTTTTACAACTCCTCCCGCCTGATAACAGTTTGTTCTTTGGTTCCCTTAAACTATTATTGAGACCCATTCAAGGAGTAGCATGGCCAGGCTTAGATCACAAAATGGCTTAGGTCAAAATGGCTTCTCTTGTGTCAAGAAAACTATATATGGTTCTTTTCTTCTGGGGATGCCCTACCCTATCTTACAGCCTAGCCTGTGCTCCAAAGCAGCAGAGACCAAGGAAAGACCTGTAGTAGTAGTGTTGGTCCCTCAGCTGTGTCCGACTCTTTGCGACCTCAGGGACTATAGCCCATCAGGTTCCTCTGTCCATGGGATTCTCTAGGCAACCATACTGGAGTGGGTTGCCATTTCCTTCTCCAAATCTTAATGGCTTATAGACTCTTTGCAACCCTATGGACTGTAGCCCGCTAGGCTCCTCTGTCTGTGGGATTTCTCAGGCAAGGAATACTGGAATGGATTGCCATCTGCTTTTCCATTGGAGCTTTCCAAACCAAGGATCAAACCCATGCCTCCTGCATTGGAAGGCAGATTCTTTACCACCACGCCACCAGAGAAGTGCTCCAAAGCAGCGGAAACCAAGGAAAGACCTGAGCAGAGGGCAAAGACACTGGCCGTGGACTCTGAAGCCAGATTCAGCTGGCCTCCCTCGAATCCCAGAGCGAGCCCTCAGTGACAGCGGTGTAGCTTTGGGCAAGCAGCTGCCCTCTCTGAACCCATTTATTCAACTGTAAAATTCAGCCAACAGCCAGTCACTCCCCACAGTAGTTGTGGGAACGATTATTAAGCACCTGGTGTATAATTGACCCTCCATCAGTAGGAGCCTCTGAACCTCAGTTTCCTCCTCAAAATGGGGATAGGGATGGCTAGCTAGCAGGGTTGCTGGGAGGGAGACTCTTGGAAAATGCCCACTCTTGCTGCAGGTAACAGTGGGTTGGAGGGGTGGGGGAGGGGAGGGGAGGGGCTAGCTTCTTGTCCATTTGTATGTGCCAAGCCTTTCTTTATTCGGACAAAAGATGTGTTTGTAAACTGACACCCATGTCACTGGAGCGTGGGGCTGCCAGACAGATTGTCCCAGCCTCATGAGATAAATGGTAGGCCACAATCAAGGACCATCACAGAAAGCAATGGATGTCCTGAAACGTGTTTTATCTCTGACAGGAGACGGGGAGGAACTGTGCTAACTTGCTCATTGCTGATGTTTTGTCTGAGAAGAGAGGCTGCCCACCTCTCTTGCGCTCAGCTGAGGAAAACCACTGGAGGGGCTGTCTCCCTCGTCCAAAAGCTCAGTTATGGGGCAGGGGTCTTTCTCTGCACCACCCCAGAACTGTGGACTGGAGACAGCCAAGGGAAGACCCTCATGTTCATCCCTCCTTGGGCCAAGAGGCATGCTTAGCCTTCTAAAATAGCTAGATAGAAACCTCACCAGAAGAAGCAGGGAAAACCAGGGCAGACAAAGATTACCTACTGTAACCTGTAGCTGAAAATAAGAGGGACTTTGTAGGGGAGGCCCTTCTGACCTACGTGTGTGACTTCACGGTAGGAATCTTTTCCTCATCGTCTGCTGAAATGAACCAGCTAAGCCAGGGCCCAGTAAGGACAACAAACCCTTCTCTGATCTTCTTTCAAGAATTTCCCTAAAGCCTCTCTCAGTCGGCAGAGCTGCCTGTTGTTGTTTTTGGTGGTGGTGGTAATTTTCTCTGAGCTCCAGTTACATTCTTTGCCTGTAAAATGGGATCCGTGCCCCGCCCCCCTCCACTCCTTGCAGGGGGTGGGGAGGGGGGTAGGAGTGGGAGTGGGGGGGGGTGGGGGGTGGGGGGGTCGGGGTGGGGGTGGTGCAGGGCGGAGAACAGGAGGTGGGAGCGTGCACCATGGGCCTGGCTCTCAAAGCCTCCAGAAAATACAGGGGTAAATGCACAAAAATGAGGGCAAGAGAAGACCCAGAGCCACCCCGGGAGGAGGCCTGCCTCCTGGGCTTTGTATATATTTTGTCTTGTCCCAGGTAGTAGTTCCACAGGTGAATTTCCTAAAAATTCACCAAGGTATAGTCAAAATGTGTTACATTGCTGTATTTAAAAAAAAAAAAAAAAATCTACAAAAGTTTCCCCGTCCCAAGTCTACAACCCTGAGCAGACAGCAGCTGTTGTGTGCCAGCCTTCTTCCAGCTCACCCTCCTCGGCATTTCCCGAGGATCAGAGACCAAGTTCTTCCCGCTGTTTCAATTGTCTGTGACTTCAGAGAAAGCTTAGAGAGACGAGGAAATGGCCCCACCTCAGTTCCTGACCTCAGTCATTATTACTGGGGTTTTCTCCAGCCAGGGATGAAGAAATGCAGTGATTAACTTAAAAAAAAAAAAAATCAGACTGTCTCAGCATCATGACTTTTCAGAGAAGCAATGTTTGTGAAATGTGGTGTGTGGTCGACGGGAGAAGCAAACCTGGATGAGTGAATGCTTTCAGACGGCTCTGCAGCCCCTCCTGGGGCAGAGGCCACCAGGTGGGAATCCTGAGCTCCCCTTCAGACGAGCAATTCAAGGAAGGGCTGTTACTTTCCCCCTGCCAGCTCACCTCTTCTTTCTGCCTTCCTCTGGGAAATCACAACTTTCCTTCCATTTCCTTGCACCCCAGGGTAGCCATGTGACCAAGACCAGCCAATCACAATGTTTTTAGCATCTGGCCACTGAGATTGGTCCAAGCAGAGCCAATCAGAAACGTTCCCTGGGAGTTTATATTCCCACACTGATAAAGAGATCCTTCTAGCCTCCAGGTTTTGGCGGGGGGGGGGGGGGGGGGGGGGCAGAGGGGATGGGGGGGCTAGAGTGGTGTCGGCCTGAAGTTGTGTGCAGCCATTCACTCTCGCGCTCTCCCTGGGTGGCACAGGCTGTTATTCTCAAGGAAACAAAGAGGCTCCAATCTCTGACTCACCCAGCCTAGGAGTCTAGGCATTTCATTTTTAGTTTCAATAAAACATCACTCAAATCACATCCCTCCTCTGCTCCAAACTCTGCAGTAGTGCCCATCTCACTCAGAATAAACGCCAAAGTTTGAACAATGGCCCATGGCCCTAGCCCATCTGATCCCCTTCTGGTTTTCTATTAACTCCTTTTTTACTCCTTCCTCTCCTCATTCATTCAGCTCAGTCACACTGCCCTCCTTGCTGGTCCTCAAACATAGACCTAACACTGTCCTTTCTCTGATCCTCTGCCTCGAATTCTCCCTTCCCAGGCATTCATTGCATTGACAACTCACCTTCAAGTCTTTGCTCAAGTCTCACCTTCCCAATCACTCTGAATCAGTTTTGAAGCCTGTCTCCACCCCCAGCTCTCCTGATGCCATTTCCCTATCTCCACTTTTTCTTTTCTTAACACATACCACTCAAAGATACATCAGATAATTTATTTAGTACCCTTACTTGGCAATTCATTCCAGTATTCTTGCCTGGGGAATCCCCTGGACAGAGGAGCCTGGCAAGCTACAGTCCATGGGGTCACCAAAGTGTCAGACACCACTTAGTGACTAAAATGCTCTAATACCTGGCTTTCTTGGGCAGGGGTATCTCTTTTGTTTATTAATGAACCACCAGCATCAGTCCCAATATGCCTGACACGTAGACACCACTGTTACTTCTTGAACGGAATTGAACTGAAGTAAGATAATTTGATTTGGATATCTTTATAAATATATCTAGAGTATGAATCTAGTCCAAAATAAGTTAAGTCAAAGAATTTAGTTCTGCATTCCAACTCCTATCTTCTTACTTCTTGGAATTCCCCTGCAGTGAGCCTGGCTGTCTCTTCTGCCCGCCAAAAAGAGAGCCCAGGAAGAGGACTAGGTGTCTCTGAGTGGGACTGGCTGCCAAGCAGGTTGGGACCAGAACAAGATTGCCCCAGGACACCTGTCTTTGATAACTATTCAGTTAAGGCTGGAAAAGAAAATGTGATTTTAACTTTGGGTAGTTGGCATGCTGACAGCACAAACACTCATCCAGCAGTGTGGAAATACAGAGGCTGATCTTTATTGACAAGGATAAATGGTTAAGACTGGAAGCCACCTGTCAGTGAATCAGGCTGATCTGGGGCTTCCCGAAAAGCTATAACAAACCTAGACAGCATATTAAAGAAGCAGAGACATTACTTTGCCAACAAAGGTCCATATAGTCAAAGCTATGGTTTTTCCAGTAGTCATGTACAGATGTGAGAGTTGGACCATGAAGAAGGCTGAGTGCCCAAGAACTGATGCTTTCCAACTGTGGTGCTAGAAAGGACTCTTGAGAGTCCCTTGGACAGTAAAGAGATCATACCCATCAATCCTAAAGGAAATCAACCCTGAATAGTCACTGGAAGAACTGATGCTGAAGTTGAAGCTCCAATACCTTAGCCGCCTGATGCCAAGAGCTAAATCATTGGAAAAGACCCTGATGCTAGGAAAGATTGAAGGCAGGAGGAGGAGGGGAAAACAGAGGAAGAGATGGTTGGATGGCATCACTGACTCAACAGACTTGAGTTTTAGCAAACTCCAGGACATAGTGGAGGACAGAGAAGCCTGGCATCCTGCAAAGAGTTGGACAGGACTTAGCTATTGAACAACAACAACAGGTGGTGCTACTGATAAAGAGCCCACCTTCCAATGCAAGAGATGAGAGAGACTCGGGTTCAATCCCTGGATCAGGAAGATCCCCTGGAGGAGGGCATGGCAACCCACTCCAGTATTCTTGCCTGAAGAAACCCATGGACAGAGGAGCCTGGTGGGCTACAGTCCATAGCGTCACAAAAAATCAAACATGACTGAAGTAATTAAGCCTGCGTGCATGCCAAGCTGTCTGTCTAGGCTCCTGAGCCCAGCCTGACCCTG